ACAAAAATATAAAGAAAATATTTTCGGAATTTCTGTTTTTTGAAAAGATAGAAATAAAGATAATCTTGGAATCAAAGAAGAATTGTACCAATACTTCGATAATAGGCCAGACACTTCTGAATTGTCTAGTGAAATGTTGAATATGAAGAGTATGGAAGCTCTAAACGTAAACAATAACCTCTGAACGATACAGTTCCAATGTCGTTGTTTAAAGAGTACTGAAGTCTTTACCAAGGAATAGTAACTCCGAAATCAAAGACATGAAAATTAACTTGATTTTGGAACATAACACACCTCTATCATTCCCCAGGCCATTCAAGATTCATAGAAAATATTTTTCATCAAGAGGGTTTGTGAAAATATATGCATGTTGATATGTTGTTTGAACAAAATGGACTTTTATATTGTCATCTTCAACATGATCTTTAATAAAGTGATATCGAAATACAATACGTTTGGTCTTGGAATGTTGAACTAGATTATGACATATGTGAATTGCACTTTGAGAGTCACAAAACAAAGGTATTTTCTTCATGTTAATCGCATATTCACGTAGTTAACTTTGTATCCAGATTGTTTGTGAAGTACAAGCAGCACCATTTATATACTTTACCTCAACTGTCGATATAGAAACACTCGTTTGCACATAACTTCTAGTTACATAATTACTCAAAGTAACCAAACATTTGTACATAACTTCTAAATTCATACAATATGAATTATGACTGGTATTTTTCTCTTTTAATATTACTTCCTAGAAACAATAATTCTCAATATGTTGGTAAAAATATTATTTTTATAAAATAATGTTTTTCCAAATAAAAACAAGTGTTGATAATTTTTACTAATAATCAAATTCTACTAATAAATAATCAATTAGTAGTAATTTGCTATAATGTGTGACCTTATATGATCATATGTCATTATCGATATCAATCTATAATGACTCTTGGACAATAAGATCTTTCACTATATACAGTATATAAGTTGTGAAAACATATAAAAACAAATGATAGTATATACATTTATAAAAAAAAAAAAATTGTGAAAACCTTTTCAAAACGAAATAAAAAAATGAAATTGTAAAAATAGATTATGAAATATATGTAAAAAATTAAAAATTTTAAGTTGTAAAATCGAATTATATATATATATATATATATATATATATATATATATATATATATATATATATATATATATATATATGAAAAAACATGTAAAACAAAGTAATCAAGTTTTAATAATAAATTTGTAATAAAACGTATAAAACAATAATAATAATAATAATATATTTCATTACCTTGGATATTTATAAAATATAGAATCTAAGTGTAGGTCGGAATGACTATTTTAAAAATTAAAATTTACATGTTTACGTGAACATAGGTGGACATAAGTTAATTTAGGAGTAAATTATAGGGAAAATGACTCTAGAGGGTAATTAACTTTTGTATTTGTATTCATTTGGTCCCTTTTCTTTTTTTTGTATTCAATATACCATTGAACTTGTTGTTTGTGTTCACCATAACCCTTTTGACCGGCTTTTGACCTGTGATAGTCGGTCAAAAGGTTATGGTGAACATAAACAACAAGTTCGATGGTATATTGAGTACAAAAAAAGGAAAGGGACCAAATGAGAACAAACTCAACAGTTGGTTACCCTCCTGAGTCATTTTCCCCGAAAAGTTAAATGAAATTAAAGTTGCGAAATTATCAAAGACTGCAACCTTCTTTGGCTATAACGTATATGAAGAGTGTTTCAGAGGGGTAACTTCGTTAAAACATGGTCTATGCTATGCTTACTGTGGTTAGTTGTCAACAACTCTCTTCAAAAGGATATGATTGTATATGAGAGGTATATTTATCAGCATAAACGTTTACCTCAAGGTATATTATGGTGATGTGTCTGCAAAAGCAACATGATATTGTACATATTGATGTTGTATCTCATCCCATGAATTCGATCTTAAAGCTAAGTAAACTCAAAAATCACAACACTTGTGATTCCACTCGTTTGTAGACTTGTCTAGAATCCATGATACGATAAATCATTCGATTGGAAATGTAAATGTAGTCATGAAATGCGTCTGCTTAGTCAAGATTCCCCTAATAAATATTCAAGTGCATTACAAAGTTGTACATGTATGAATAGTGTTCTTTCGTGGGTTATGTTTTGAAGAGATGCAAGAATGAATCACATAAAATCATTAATATCAGTAGGAGATGACGTGGGATTTGGTGTAAATGAGTAAAGGGAAAATGACTCAGGAGGGTGACCAACTGTTGAGTTTGTTCTCATTTAGTCCCTTTCCTTTTTTTGTACTCAATATACCATCGAACTTGTTGTTTGTGTTCACCATAACCTTTTGACCGGCTATCACAGGTCAAAAGACGGTCAAAAGGGTTATGATGAACACAAACAACAAGTTCGATGGTATATTGAATACAAAAAAAAGGACCAAATGAGTACAAACGCAAAAGTTAATTACCCTCAATAGTCATTTTTCCTAAATTATATATTGAATTTGTCGGTTCAAAAATAATAAAAAAACTAAAATTAAAATAGTCTAACAATAATAAATAAATTTAAATGATTAATTATAAATATACTTTTGTTATAATTCCTTATACTCCCAATAATCTAACAATATTACATAAATTTAAATGATTAATTAGGAAGAATGTTATCTACAAGAACCGAACTTACGTAGGATCGGTAGGACGACTCCCAATCAATGTTTTAAAAACCGGTTTTTAGTTGAACCGGTATGGTGACCGGTTTCCGGTTCAACCGGTTCGACCGCTAAGTAAACCGGTTTCTATAGTTTTCATCTTTTTTCGTATTTTCGTACACATACCTACATACACAAATCAAGAATATGATGTCTACAAGTTCAAACATTAAAATACACATGAAAACAAGTTGTAGATCATTTTTAAATACATTAAAATAACTCATAACCATAAGTTTTACATCAATCCACGTGCACGAAAAAGAAAATAAAGTCGTAGATGAATATAAATGCATCAAAAAACTTCATAACATTTATCATGTGTTTTTATTCAGATAAATTTTAATAAATGTGAAAAACTACCAAAGTTTATTATGCAAAAGATTTCGATTCCATGTGTTTTTATTCAATTTAACCGGTTCAACCGATTTAATTGAACCGATTCAACCGGATTTTTGTAAAAACCGGCCGGTTCGATCCGGTTCGGAAATAGACATAAAACCGGTGATAGTTGAACCGCTCCCTTTCCCGATTCCCGGTCCAACCGGTTCGACGGGCCGGTTCAAACCGGTTTTTAAAACATTGCTCCCAATATGACGATTGCTGGTTCAATGGTGAGTCAACCCGATTGTAAGACTTTTATTCCATTTATATATTAATACATTCAAATACACATAGAAAACCTGCAAATAATTGTCCCCAATTTCAATCATTAAAAAAAACAAATATAAGAAGTGCTTTTTCTTGTTTCCCCAAAGGAAATAAGGCAACCTAACACACTGAGCAAACAATAGACGAAATGCTTCTTTTTAAATCATTTGACATGCTATCTTGAGAAATTCCGGAAGGATGTACTCCATAAACATTTCAAAACCAAATAAAGAAATGAAATTGTAAAAATAGATTGTGAAATATATGTAAAAAATTAAAAACTTAAGTTGTAAAAACGAATTCGAATATATATATATATATATATATATATATATATATATATATATATATATATATATATAATATATATATATATAACGTAACGCGTGACTTTACGACGATGTCAAACCTCAAATTTTTCCGAGCCTTGTCGTGAATTAAGGCGGAAGTTTTGTATATAATTAATATTTTTATAATGACGAGCTTTTTAAAACATTGATCAAAGTTATGAAAAAATATGTAAAACAAAATAATCAAGTTTTAACAACAAATTTTTAATAAACATTTATAATAATAAAATATAATAATACCTTGGATATTTAAAAAATATAGAAACTAAGTGTAGGTCATAATGACTCGTTTGAAAAACAAAAATTAACATGCTTAAAAACAATTTAAAACTTAAAAAATAATTAAATAATCTAAAAATAATAAATAAGGTTAAATGATTAATTGTTATTTATTTTAATTGCGTAGCATGTTATTTACATGAACCAAACTTGCGTAGGATCGATAGGACGAATCCCTATATGACGATCGCCGGTTCAATGGTGACTTGGTGAGTAAACCCGATTGTTAGACATTTATTCGTTTTATATAAATACACATAGAAAACTTGTAAATAATTGTCCACAATTTCAATCATTAAAAAAACCTAATTTAAGAAGTGTTTTTTCTTGTTTCCCCAAAGGGAATATGACAACCTAACATACTGAGCAAACAATAGATGAAATGCTATCTACAAGAACCAAACTTGCATAGGATTGGTAGGACGAATCTCGAAATAACGATCGTCGGTTCAATGTCAGGCTTTTATTCATTTTATATATTAATACATTCAAATAAACATAGAAAACCTACAAATAATTGTCCACAATTTGAATCATTAAAAAACGAAATATAAGAAGTGTTTTTTCTTGTTTCCTTAAAGGAAATATGTCAGCCTAACACAATGACCAAACAATAGATGAAATGTCTATTCTTAAATCATTTGACATGCTATCTTGAGAAATATCTAATATTAAGCATTCTCGTTCAAAAAGTTTGGTAAAACCGGTTCAACGTATTTCTTGAGAAACCGAGCTCATCGGAAGTAGAAATAGGCCAAAACCCATTTATGACTGACCGGTTCTTTTCACCGGATCACGGTCCGATCGTTCGATCGGCCTGGTCAACCCATGTTTAAAAACATGGGGTGGGACACCAGTTTTTCAATTTTAGATTAAAATTACAAATTTAATAATTTCCTTAATTCAGTCTAAAGGTATTATAAATAATGAAACAATCCCGTTTCAAAGTTTCATCCACTATATTTCGTTAAATTTTCCCTGTATCATGAGGACCTTTCGTAGTGGTCTTGCTCCTTTAATTGTCAATCTTGTGGTAGCCATCGTGGCAATCGTCCTTTTATGTTTCTACTCATATCCGAATCCCCCAAAACTATCTATAGAGGAATTCTCAGTTCCAGCCTTCAACAACTCGTCAAACCATACAACCGGAAACATCTATTTTGACCTTAAACTAAGAAATATGAATAAGGCAATCGGTCTTTACTACGATGACCCATTAAGCATCGCCTTCTTTTACTACCCATATGATGAACCCTACCAGAAATATGCGTGGGCAGGCACTCTGGCAGCCTTTTACCAAGGCAATGGCAAGACTAATCATATCAGATCCCTCAAGGGGAATGACCTCGAACTTCCATCTACGGTGGTGGTTGACACAGAAGAGGACACTCATGATCTTGTAGAGACTGATCATGGGAGAACGCTGCTCAAGGATCACCTCCAGCTGCCATCTACGTTGGCAGAGACTCGTAAGGAGATGGTGGGTCGGATACTGGAGGTGAATATAAGGATAGCTGTTGTTATTAACTATAGATTCAAGTACTGGGTCGGATCATCTAAGCATCAACTCAAGCTGGGTGCTAACGTGGTCGTTGATAATAACACTGGTGAGAAGGTTTCGCCTGGAAGCATTGAGTTGGTAGAATCTGCAGCCTCCGCCGGAGGACAAGTTATGGTCGTCGGACTTTTTACTTCATTTGTTCTTGTTATTTGTTTTTAAATGTAGTTAATTTGTCTGCTTGTATAGGAACTTATTTAGTCTCTCTTTCGTAACATAATTTTATCACTAATTAAACCCATGGTTTTTCATCACTTAGCCCACCTGCCACCCTATGACCCAATAATTTATTTTGTCACATAAACATCTTTTTTATATAAAAACTAATAAAATAAAAAATAAAAAACGACGGCAAACGTCATATAATTGAAAACGTCAATTTCAATAAAAATCCATTTAATTATTATTGATTATTGCACATTTTACTTTTTTCTAACTTGTAGTTAATTTTTAGCAATATATTTTATAAATGATGTATTATGACTAGCTTCGTATAATCAATGGGTAGGTAAATCATCCAACTCTATAAACATCACTTAAGGATTTGTTCGATAAAACCAATGATTCATATTCATAGCAAAATGTATCTGTTTCTCCTTCCTGAAATTCTATGAATGGTAACATTTTTTATGCATTTCTTCAGAAATTTCGTAGTTAAGATAGAGTTGTGTAATTTGAGCATATAAACGCTTCACAATTTGACAAAACACATTACGTTGTTTCATTATCAGTCTATTGTTATTTTTCAAAATACATATCATCTCTAACTCTTGCTATCTCAACCTATAGTTTCTCCATCTTAAGCCTTGGTTCTTTACTCCTGAAAATGTATCTGCTAAGGTCGTCATCAAGATTAGAAACTTCTCTTCAGTTAGATCTTATACTTTCACCTAATTCTGAAATACTACCCCTTGGTTCATTTAATTCCGCATCATAGCGATGGACATGAATATCTAAAGATTTAAGAATTAAAAAGTATATTATCTATTACCTTCTCACATGCCTCCACATGTTCCCCTGTGCTCTTCGCTCTTCGTAGATACACAAGTATCATAAGAGTTAGCATCTGAATCTCCATCTCCTTTAAAAATATAACCTTGAATCTCAGAACTTGAACTTCACACCATCAAACATTTACTACCCTTCGTACCTGCAAACACATTGTAAACAAACATAGCATCACGAGTTATCTTCCTGTACTCATCGTCTTCGAAGTTTCTGGACCAAACTTCAATATTCCTTGCATCACTGTTTTCTTCCTTAACAATCAAAGTCTTCCCCGGAATGTTCGTCTTACGAAGGTCTTCAATCTTCTGAACATAATAGGCTTTATGCTTCGTTTTCCCCTTTTCTCACTCTTTTTCCTTAGCACACATTATTTCACAAAATGACTTTGGAGTTTGTGGACCACACTTCAATATTCCTTGCACTTCAATAGGCTTCAACATAATAGACTTCATCATGAGTTAGCTTCCTAAACTCATTATCTTCGGAGTTTGTGGACCACAGTTCAATATTCCCTTAGCACAGGTTATTTCAAAAAAATGGTTTTTGCCATTACAAAAACTACAATCGTAATCCGAGTCACCAAGGAGTTTTGTTCGCTTTCTTTTCTTTTTCTTGTTGTTGGTAGTTTTTAACACCTCCCCTTTTTTTCTTATCAGATAATGAGTTACCGCCTTTGTAACCTGAACCTCCATCTTCAGATCTTGTATATCCACCATTCCCGCAAGGACATCTTCATTCAACTCTGGACCCATATCCAAGTCTGGATCATTAACCGAAGAAAATGTTGAACAAACTACCCCTCGTTCTTCTCCAAAAATAACTAATTATCCATCTTCTCACTCTCCAAAGTCAAATTCCCCTCTGAAATCACCTCAAAATTCCTCCCTACCCAAAAGTAAATCCGAAGAATGCTCTTAATCTTCCATAAAAGTTAAGGATTCTCCAATTATTTAGCAGATAATATAGATTGGAGGAATGTGAAGCTGCAAGAAAAAATCTTCCAATAATTCGAAATTGAGGTCAATCTGGATGAGGCCTTAATTCAATCATAGGTCAATCCAATCTCAAGACTCGTTGATGAAGATTATGTACCTCATCGAGCTGATGCAACTCCCAATAACAACGCCTACTACGTTATCCCTTTTCCCCAAATGGAAAATTCTTTAAAGTGGTTGGTGATCTTGATGTGACTCTTCAAATAACAAAAGACTCCCTCTCGAGTTTGAGCGATTATGCGAATTTCAAAACAAACATGGCAAAGACATAAAGGATATATGGCCTATCAAGAGACCGCAACATTCCAAAACCTCCAAACAAATATCGGTCAAGAAGTCTCCCCTCTATCAGTACATATTGGTACATAATGGAAAAGATTATGAAAGAAATCAAGAAGATTTTATCAACATAAATCTTGGAGAAATATTCTTCATTGTGAGAGTGTTCAGCAACAAGATTAAGAAGCATCATAACCTCAAAACTCCTTATGATAGAGCTTAAGATTATCTCAGATCACTTGTATGTGACTTTGCAACCATTGATTCTAAGATTCAATCATTGCTTGATGACCATGTGGAACTACCATGTGGAACTACCTATAATTTATTGATTGATGAAGCATGAAGTTATCCTCGACAACTTGGAAAATTGGTTAAGTGTCTTATTGATGAAGTCGAGAAGTGACCATGCGTTGAGAAGTCGATGCAAAGATTATCAATCCATTTCTCTTTTTGCTCACCAAAGAAAAGTATTGTCTGCAGAAAAGATCTTTTGGAAGATTATGTCAAATTAACTATTTTTCTTTTAGTTTTCAAATTTATTATTTTTCCTTATTTGAAAATAAACATATGATATCCTTGATATTTATTATTACTAAAGGAGGTGTCCAAAAGGAACGTCGCAACGCGTGCCAATTTGCCATATCTACATAGGATAAGACGAGGCGGATATTGTCTTATAGATATGATAAATTGGTATGTTCACTATATTATTCAACCGTGAGTATATTTTTTTGTGTTTGTTTAAATATATATTTTTTGTAAATGACTACAAGGTTGAAAGTCAAGCAATTGAAAAGAATGACCACCCCCAGATATTAATATGGTGTAAAGGATAACAAAACATAGAATACCACATTGTAGATCCGAAATCCAAATTCATAATAGATGAGATTGTAACTTTTATTAAGATTTACCATTTTGATAAGTACATGATATTTGACCATTTTATTGACATGTTTTCTTATCAGCTTGAAAATGAAAAAAAAATAGGAAGGGGACTTGGAGCTTGATCCGACCACAAATGCCATGAAACTAGTTTTTGGCAACAAAAAAGGTGGATCCTTCAAGGGACTTGGCTTTTGAGTTACACACGATTATTTCAATCTTTGGAGAAGTGAAAGATCTTCATGCAACCAAATCAGTGAACTAAGAAGTGAACTAGAGTACAAGACCAAAGAGAGTGTGGAAAATATGAGAAACTAAGGGAAGTGTGAAACAAAATGAAATGTTAAAAAATATTTGTCTTTAGTCTAAACTGAGGGGATTCAGGTACCAGGTTTTTCAATTCCTAAAGATTTGTCTCTATCGCAAGTAAGTGAAGTGTCTTTTTTACCCTTCAATCCATTAGAAATTTCAATATGTTACAGAATCTCCATACATATGAAGTTTGATTTTTTTTCAATTTACACAAGCTCTAGTCATACTTTTCTTCATTTTTTATGCATGTACTTTCATCAATTTACAAGAGTGTAGAATTAGAGCCCACTATAATCGCTAAAAAGAACCAAACAAATCCAAGCATATCATCAACACCGGTAAGTAATGAGTTAACATCCTTATACCCCAGAAGACTGATTGATTTTTATTTATTTAAAATTTAGTTATATTTTCCTTCATTATTTATACGGGTAATTTTATCAGTGGCCAAGAATGTTGAATTAGAGCTCACTCCAGTCCCAACTAAAAATAAAATAAATTCAAAGAAATTATCAGTACCGGTAAGTAATTAGTTAACATTGTTATGATGCATGTAATTGATTTTTTTTTAATTTACATAAACTCTATTTATAGTTTTCTTCTTTATTTATACATGTAATTTCATTAACGGGCAAGAATGTTGCATTGGAGACCACGCCAATCCATAATAAAAAGAAATCACATAAAAATGATTTCATCACACCTGTAAGTAATTACTTAACATTCATTTACTAGAGAAGATTGATTTTTTTAATTTACATAAACTCGACTTATACTTTTCTTATTTTTTTTGTAGGTAATTCCAATGGAAAAGAATGTTGGATCAGAATCCACTACAATCCAAAAAAAAAAATTACAAACAAGACACTACTAATTTCAAATTAAACATATATGACTACTAGATGTATGGTTTCAAGGAATTTGAAAAAACTAAGAAAAAAAGTTTGCAAACAAAAACACCACAAACTCAAAATATATAATATATATATATATATATATATATATATATATATATATATATATATATATATTATAGAGATATATATATAGGTTATTCTATTTAAACTAATTATTGTGTTATTGTATGCATAAATGTGGGCCAATCATTTTACTTATTTTAAGAAAGTGATTAATACATATTATTAAATTAAAGATAGTTGAAAAATGCCATCTAATTTCATTCTAAGGGTATTTTAGACAATTGAGATAAATTTAAAAAAGGAAAATTCCATATTTTTTGGGTTAATTAATTCTCTTGATTTTAAAATTCTAATTTTTTAATTACTTTAATTTTAATTATAACGTAATTTTTATAATTAAACACGATTTTATTCTGTTAGAATGTCATTCTGTTAGAATCATATTCTCTAGGAATTTCAGGATATATATTTCTATTAGAATGATATTCTATTAGAATGCTAACACCGACTAATAACAAATTTTTGGATACAACTTCAAATTTTTCATTACATTCTTAAAAATGTAAAAACTTTATATAATAGTCTATGACAATGAAATACCCACTAATAACAAACAAAACCATGTATATTATTCTGTTAGAATGTCATTCTGTTAGAATCATATTCTCTAGGAATTTCAGGATATATATTTCTATTAGAATGATATTCTATTAGAATGCCAACACCGACTAATAACAAATTTTTGGATACAACTTCAAATTTTTCAACAGCTTTTTCATACGGGTTTTCATTCTCCCATCCAAAAGATAGAAAAACTGTTGTATCAATTTCAGAAGCTTCTGACTTGGGTGAATCTTGCCATATACCACTTTCATTTGTAGTGTCTGTAAGAACAGAAAGGCTGCTGGTGCCAACCGCCGCCAGCTCATCATGTTCTAAATCAGAATCACTATCATGCTCCCGAAACCTCTTCACATAAGTTTTCGCCTCAATTCCATCATTAACTGAATGCTCAGCAGTTACAGCTACCTCCGAAACTCGGTGAAGATTAGTTTGCATTTGTATCCACCGATTCAAGGTCGGAAACCTGAATTAGAAGTTAAATGGCATTCAAAATCGGGTAACCAACTAAATGAATTCAGTTATATATGGAGAAAAGACAAAAGTAACCTCTCGGATTGATCAAGTGCAAACTCAATGAACATTCTATCAGCATCATGCTTCTGGACTGACCCTGGCCCATCAGTCAACGAGCCTGACATGGTTGATGAGTAGTCATTGCCACCCTATAAAATACAATTCCCAAAAACACATGCTAAAACAGCCCTGACTGGTGACAGTTTCACAAGATGCTTTACAACATCTAACTGAAGAGGGTACAGGGGAACTCCAGGTGTGGCTGAGGATGGACAATAAGAACTCGGCTTGGCTTCTTTTGAAGATGGGGATAAAAGTTTACCCTCTGAATCCTCTTCGTGTCCTATTTCTTCAGACTTATCCTTTTAAGACTTACCCTTTTCGTGACAGCAAAATACAATTGAATCCACTAATTAAACAGGGATTTATATCATGAATCCGCTGAGAATCGACATACCGATCATCAATTTCAATGGAAATTAAATTAGTAAACTGAAAGAAAAGGGAGAATCGACATACCGATCATCAATACCAAAGGTAGGGTTTTCTCTAAGGGGCTGAAACGAGAATCGACCAAGAAACCTCGCAACACACTTGCCATAGATACACGAATGAGTTCGCTGAACCAACTGCCGCCTCGAGGAGATCGAATAAATTGGACTGTTGGGCTTCGATTTGATGAAGCTGATTGCGGATCACATATAAGTCTTCGGATTCTTGTTGGATTGTGACCTACAACGCAGAGAGGAAGACAGAGGCGGATTTATGATTTAGTTCACTTGTGTGATCCTATTACGGTGTAGGTGGATTTTAATAGGGTTAATAATAAACGGATCCCTGATTATAGGGATTATTTTTGGTAGTTACTAAACAAATTACTATATTACCCTTATTTATTTATTTAATTATTTAATTTTTTATTTAATTTTGATTGGCCCACATTTAATTAGTTTAAACAAATGAACCTAGCTCTCTCTCTCTCTCTCTCTCTCTCTATATATATATATATATATATATATATATATATATATATATTGTTGGGTTTTAGTTCAAAAATAGTTTAGAAAACTCAAATAATAGTATAAGGAAGACATAGATTTTTTAAAGAAAACAAGTTGCTTTATAACCGACCAAGGATCATCTTCCAAGAAATGGAAAGAAAAACAACAACCATAGAAAATATAAAGAAATAACAACCTTTGTTGTCTTTGGATCCTTAAGGGGCAGTTAGGAAGTTGATGGAGAATGGATGAACCTTTGAGACACCAAAAAGAATCCAACTTGATTTTAGATACTGGTCTTATGAAGAAACTCTTAATTTTTAAAACAATACCCAAGTTTTACTTAAAGAGAGTAAAATTGAAGTATCATAAACTCTAACGCTTTTTCTTGAAAGAATGAGAGAGTTTGAGAAGGAGAGGGTACAAGTTTTCATGCTAGAATGTAGGACAAGATGAAAGCCACATCTTATGCATAAAGTGAAGTATTTAAGCATTAGATGTTAACAATTTTGAGCAACCTTATCCCTATGTCATGAACATGTCTAAACACGTTTTTCTTAGGGTGTGTTCCTTAGATTAGACGGTTCAAGAACCTTTCCCTTTGTCCCTTTCTTATTTACGGTTTAAGAAGACAAAAAGAAAGTTGACATTTTATAAAGCTCACTACTAGTTTATAAGTTATAAAATTTAACCTTTTGGTAAAAGACAAAAAGATTTATCTAGTCCAAAATGTTGTGCATGACATACTAATTCAGACCATATGAAACATAATGTTGCTTTCCATCGAAACATTATTAATTTCCATGAAATAAATATTTTCCAATTAAATATATAAGTTTACGAATATTTATTAAAATCAATATCTAATAAATAATCAGTCGTATCAACTTTTGTTAGTGTGACCCTTTAAGATCATACGTTAATTAGAAATATCATTTTAATATGACTCTTGAGCATAAAATATCTTTCAATCTCCTACTTGCATAAGACTCATATTAAATTGATATAGATAGTGGAGAACGTCTAATAACATTTCACTTTCCCCAATAACATATGACTTTGTGCCATTCTATCAACACCCAATTCCTCGGAAGTTCAAAGGTACAATTGGTGTATAAGGTAAGTTTATCAGCTATCCCTTTGATATACACATCATGTTGAACATGAGATAGAGTTCACATTTAATCTTATTATAGTGTTCAACTTTACATCAGACCTTAGATGCCTAACACTCAACTAATAAGAAGAACAAATCACATCTTCAGTACATAAGCCTCTTGCATGATTCACATCATACCTGACAATAGATTTTATAATTATCTATTTAAAGAACATCATTTGACTATATGAAAGCATAACATTCCCCACACTCAAGTCCTATATATGCATCTTAAGTACTAAAGATATACAAATATTACATTTATCAAGTATCATTCATGCCAACGATCCATGATGTGATATTGAACGAGTCTACCCAATACTTGTTCTCTAGCAAGTACCTATGAAACTAGTTACAATTCCTTGTCAACCGTTGCAATTCATATTAGTCTTACTTTATTATTGTTCCAATAATAATAAACAACTATAGATTTTAGAGTGAATAAATTTACTAAATGATTAAACATGTTAATATAGAAGTTAAACAAGTAATTAATGAGAAAGATCTTGTTCCATATATATATATATATATATATATATATATATATATATATATATATATATATATATCAAAATCATCAGGTTAGTTAATGTCATACATATTTTTGATAAGAAATACTGAAACAAAGATCAAATCCAATCACTAGAATAACGAAGTCTGATCCCTCGAGCATGACCTTCAAACTTGGCTTGAGGATGAGACTTCGTGAAAGGGTTCTCCAAATTTTGATTTATTTGTACTTTGTATATACTGATTTCACCATCTTCAACATCATGTTGAATGTATTTGAATCTCCAATTAATGTGTCTAGTCTTCTTATGTGATATGGGTTCTTCGGTCAAAGAAATAGCACCCTCATTGTCACAGAAGATTTCTAGGGCATCCCGAATGGAAGGAACAATGCTTAGATGTCTAATGAATTTCTTCATCCAAGCAACTTCTTGTGAAACTTCTGAAGTAATGGTGTATTCTTACTTTGTAGTAGATTGCACTAAAAACTTTTCTTGGAGCTTTTCCAAGACACTACACCCCTATTGATAATGAACACAAATCATGATTGTGACTTACAATCATCTCGATCTATTGTGAATGAAGGATAAATGTAATCCTTTACACTTAATCTTTCTTCTTTTCCTCAATAGACGAGGAACATATCCTTTTGTTCTATGCATGTACTTAAGGATATTCTTCAAAGGTATCCAATGACTCTCCACTGTACTTTTTTGGTACTTTCTTGTCATGCTCACAGGATAAGCAAGATCAGTTCTAGTACAATTCATAGCATATATGATGGATCCAACTGCCGAAGCATATGTAATTTCTTTCATCTTGTCTAGCTTAGCCTTTGTGCTAGGACATTGGAATGCACTTAGTATTGTATCATGTTCCATATGTACAAATTCTCTCTTAGAGTTTATTATCTTGAACCATTTCAATACCTTGTCAATACATGTACTTTGGCTTAAACCTATTAATCATTTTATCTATCCCTATAGATCTTTATAGCAATAATGTATTGTGAATCACCAATATCCTTCATTGAAAAACACTTTCCAAGCCATGAATTTACACCTTGTTAAGTCGGAATGTGATTTCCTATGATAAGTATGTTGTCCACATATAGGACTAGGAAGGTCACAGAGCTCCCACTAGTTTTCATGTAAACACAAGATTCATCTTCATTTATAACAAGACTATACTTTGTATTTTATCAACAAAATAATGATTCCAATTACGAGATACTTGTTTTAACTCGTAAATGCATCTCTTGAGCTTACACACTTTATTAGGACGCCTTTTGTTGACAAAACCTTCGGGCTGAACAATATAGACATCTTCTTCCAAGTGTCCATTTAGAAAAGCGATTTTGAGATCCATTTACCATATCTCATAGTCATAATATGTGAAAATGGCAATTAGTATCCTAATAGATTTAATCATAGCGGATAGTGAAAGGTTTCATAATAACCAACTCCTTAAGTTTGAGTGAATCCTTTAGCAACAAGTCTTGCTTTTAATGTGTGAATTACCATCTATGTAAGTCTTGTTTTTGAAGACCCATTTACTCCCGATATTATTACAATGGAGAGGAATTTCAACCAAGTACCAGACTTGGTTTTCTCCCATGGATTGCATCTTTGTATTCATGGATTCAAGCCATTTTTTAGATTCATGATCCACCATTGTATTTCAGCAGTTGACGAGCCCATTAGCATTCATCATCATGAAGCATTCATTAATGAGAAATCCAAATCTCCCAGGTTCCTAATGAACTATATTGGATCATCGAACGCCTTGTGTTTCAATAGGTTGAAGGAAAATGAACTCTTGATCTTCAAAAACATCTTTATCAGAACTAGTGCCAACTATAGCTGCATTGGTTTGTGTTTCTAAATCTTCTTCAAGTTCCACATGCCTCCCACTTGCTTCATCCATTACAAACTTACTTTCTAAGAATTCAACTCTTCATGAAATAAAGATATTATTCTCACTATTCATGTAGATATAATATCCTAAAAAATCTTTTGGATATCCTATAAAGATTCATTTGGTAGACCTAGGATCGAGTTTTCTTGAAGTCTCTTGTTTAACATAGGCTTCACAGTCCCAAAAATTAATATAAGATTAAGATGGAGCTTTTCCATAAAGCATCTCATAAGCTATCTTGTCTACCTTCTTAGTTGGTTCCATATTTAAGATACGGGATATGGTGAGTAAGACATAACTCCAAAATGATAAAGGGAGAGTACTGATGCTCATCAAGGATCGAACCATATCAACTAAGGATCGATTTCTCCTTACAGACACACCATTAAGTTGCTGTGTTCTGGGTGGAGTAAGTTGTGAGATGATCCCACGAATCCTAAGATGATCTTGGAACTCTTGGCTCAAGTACTCGTCTACTCTATCCGAACGAAGGATTTTGATTCTCTTGTCGAGTTGATTCTCAACTTCACTTGGAAAC